TCTATTAATTTTTATTATTGAAAATTTATACATTTGATATCACGATACAACTTCTATAAGATACTAGATACTTTCATTAGACAACAACTATATGATATGTATGCGGCAGAAAAAAGGAGAAGACTACAATTCAACAAAGATAAGGTAGAAACTTAATGAAATGAAATATTTTTCACCATAGGTGATATTATTCATATATTTAAATTAAAATCTTAACCCATCGGTGGCCCCCTAAAGTTGCCACAAAATTTTACTTAGACACTTTAACTAGACGATGTTCATTTTAGGCACCTCATGTAAAATTCTGTTATGTCATTTTGACACTTTTTGCTTACAAGACACAATGAGTATATCACACTCATTGTATCCGCGTGAGAGGCTTATTTAACTATTTTTTAATTTTATTTTCTTCATCTTCTTACCAATTTTCAGCCACCATCTTCCCAAACTTAAACTCCCTCCGTACCTCGTGGCACGGCAGCACCCGTACTATTGAAATGGTTCGTCAGTAGAGATGTTCCCACAGGTGCCCTTTTTTGCAAGTTCGTTCCTTGAAGTATTTTCCTCTTAGTTTAAGCTCTTGGATGATATAATCCATCTAATCAAAAGGAAGGAAGGATAGACAGAGACGAAAATCAGCCATAGTAATTCGGGAGTCCCGTGTGGAAGGGCTCTCGCTTAACGGATCAAAGGTACGCCGGGGATAATAGGCTGATGACGATTTAATAGAGTGACAGATAAAACAACGAATTCCAGCAGCAGAAGTTTCCACAAAGTTTGAACACGTTTTCTTATTTTGTTTCTCTTCTTTCTCCTCGATTTAGTTTGATAAAAAAGAACATATATCTTACCTTTGATTTTTCTAGACATTGAAGTATTTAAAAAGAGGTAGGTATTAATGGAGGAAAGCACATCACATCGCCTTTTCCCTTTCTTTACATAGCTGATCTACAATTCTACATTCAGGCTCTCTGATTATTGAAAGGTTGTAAAAATTTCAAGAAATTACTGATTATTGAAAAGTTAGCAAAATTTCAAAAAATTAATATTTAGTACTGGATAACTCATATTTAATGTCAGCACAAGACTTTTATTGTTGTGGATAAAACAAATTAATTTTGGATTAAAAAAAATCGATGGGGGTCGGGGTTGTTTCTGCAAAAGTATCTTGAAGAAGATGGTTGAGTAAATTGAGGAGGAGGTGACAAAAAAAGTGTTGAAATTAAAATTGGTGACAAAAAAGATTGACCAAGTCAATTTTTTTTTAATCAGTGATTAAGATAATTAGGGTCTAAAATGTAATATTTAAAACTTCTAAGCTTTTAAAAATATTCAAAATAAACCCAATTTCTAATTTCAAAATGTTTGAAAAGTTTTCCCTCTCTTCTTAAATTTCAAAATTTAAAATCTCTTCAAGATTTCTTTCTCCCTTTTCTTCCTTCTTTCTTTCTCTTTCCAGATTTCTTTTCCCTCTTCTTCTTCTTCATTTCTTTTTCTCTTCTTCCATTTATTTGTTCTTCTTTGTTGTTGCTATCATTATCGTTGTCGTTCATTATTTTTATCACGTTTTTTCTTTTTTCTCTTGTTGGTCTTATTTCACAAACTAATTTGCTTTAATTTTAAAAAAATTGAAGTTGAAGTCATTGTTTTTTTTGTAGAAAATCAAGCAACAACTGAAGTTGTCGCAATAACTGTTGAAGTTATTGTAGCTACTGTTAAAGTTTTTTCAGCAACTGCTAAAGTTTGCTCAACAACTGTTGAAGTTATTGTATCAACCGTTGAAGTTTTTTCAGCAACTACTCAAGTTCGCTTAGCAACTGCTGAAGTTGCTGCAACAACTACAATAATTGTTGTAGCAAATGAGGTAAAAGAGAGGGTGGTAGAGTGGCTAATGAGATGTTGGTGATAACAACGAAGGTGGCGGTGATGATTGTTGTGGAGGCAGAGGTAGAGAAGAAAGAGGTGGCAACAATGGTGGTAAAAGAGGAAGAAAAAGATAGTGGTGACAATGGAGGAAGAACTGATGGTTGTGGTAGAGGAGGAAGTGGTGACGACGACGATTACGATGACAGAAGTGGAGGGGATGGCAGCGGTAGAAGGGTGGAGAGAAGGGAGGGTGTGGAACGGGGAAAATAGGGCTTTTATGTAAATAATAAAACTTGAGGGTTTTAAAATTAGTGTCATTAGCACTAATCTTAAAATTGTCACCTATACTCAATAATTAAAACTCGTGTCACTTTTTCTTTATTTTGAAACTCTTTTGTCACCCTAAATTCATTAGCCCAAAATGGTTTGCAGGGGAGGATGCGGGGTTGCAGGAAGGGGACAGGGTGCTGCAAAATATGTTTTAAAATAGTTAAAATATTTAGGTAAAATGCTACATGTAATTTATTCATTGGATATTTTTTCTTAAATTTAAAATTCTTTGTTTAAAAATTATTTTGAATACGAATGAAAAATGTCCAAATTTAATTCGATACTTTACACGTCAGCCGCGAGTGTAACACGCACCCACTATATTTTTGCTAATTATAAAAAAAAGTGTCAATATGACACATTAAAACTTGACTTGAAGTGTTAAAAATGAACAAAGTCCACTTAAAGTGTCTAAGTGAAAATTGCTCCCAACTTTAGGGGTCCATCGATGGGTTAAACCTAAATTAAATTATGCTACTGAAGTATATATAACCACCATTCATAATAACAACCAAGTACACTTTTTTGATAAAGTTGCTTCTCTATGATAGTCTTACTCAAATATTAATTGAGTAATAATATTTTGTAAAAGATATGTTACATACAAAGATAAAATATTAAAATACTTATGGTAATCCTGAATACTGTCATGCACATGCTAAATTTTAAGTATGAATATTTAAGACAAAATTTGTACTTAAATGGTGTACATCATTAATGTTCATAACCTCAAGACGAAAGGCTATTGGTGACTTTTTTTGAATGGATATTTTTTTCTATTTTGTTGGTTAGATTTGTTTACAAAATTGAGTGAAGTAAGAAATAATATTATTAAAGAAATGTCACTTTCTCCCATATTTAAACTTTGAATGTATTTTTAAATGTTTTAATGATATCTGGTAATTTTGATCTCAAAATACAAGTAACTGTATGACAATATGTATTAATAATTTAAAAACACTTGTCCTATGTTCGTTCTATTATAATTATTTACTAAAACGCTATAATTTAGTAATATTAATTATATTTTACAACATCATATACTATATATACGATACACACGTGCGTTCCGTGAAACTAGTATATATAAAATAAATCAACCTCTCATTTGAGAGAGTAAATAGAATAGTGTCGGGCTTACGACAATCTAACTTTTGAACAACTAAGCAATTGCTAAGCTCCCGTCCACCCCCAACCAATTAGGGTAAAGTGTTCATTCATACCTTCAACAACACCGAGATATTGGCCCATGACCATGTTTACTTCATCTTCAAGAGCACGCATCCAGACTCTCAGGTATATATATATATATATATATATATATATATATAGTTTTCTAATTATTTGTATTTAGAGCAATTTAAAAAAATACATACATATTAAAATTACAACTTGTAATTTTTATGTGTAAATGTAGATGATTTATGCAATTTCACCATTGTTGACCGTCTTTTCCATTTTAAAAGTAGATGGTTAATCTTTTTTAAATTGAAAATTGACATTTTGTGAGTGATTAATTTATTAAGATGACAATTATTTATCCTCAAATAATTCATGTGAAAAAATAGCAAACATGACAACAAAATTGTTCTTCCATAGCTAGTTAGAAGACCTTAAAAAATAATTGTTCGACAATTATCTAACTTGACTCAGTTACATAATAATTCAAGAGTATAATTGGTAAGAAGCTTTTTATTGAGTTTTAATCCAAACACAAGATGAGGTGGAAAACAATGAACCAAATGCTTGATAAAAATAAACATTGCATTACTAATCTCTGCACTACTAATCCCTGCATTATTTATCTTTGTACCAAATGACCCCTAAATGGCAGAGTTATTGTACATTAATTAGTAAATATATATAGTATGTACAATATATATATATATATATATAGGGGCATGCTATAGCTAGCACTTATGCTGCTTCTCCAATTAAAAGCATACTGTTTCTTTGACAGGACACCACATCAATACCCCAACATTCTCTGAGATCATATGTCCTAATTTCCGCTGTTCCTGTCCCTTACCTTCCAAAATTAACAATATAATTGTTGTATAACACTCGTAGAGTAGAAAAAATGTATAAAGAAAAGGAAAATGTATATTCTATTCAGGAACGTTTCAATAAGTTTAGGGACTTAAAATCGAATTTCATAGAAAAATCTTATTTTTTTTAGTTATCAAATGTAAATTGAATAATTATATCATACTCAATGTAATCTTACAAGTTAAGTCTCGAGAAGGTACGATGTACACATGTAGACCTTATAAAGTAAGATTACTATAAACAATAAAAAGTTTCAATGAAAAGATATAATATAAAACCTGATCCATAAATTTAAAAAGTTTTTATCAACACACAATGATAGATTTTTCATAATGCAAAAGGTTTGACCGTTTGATGGACTTTAGAATATTCAATAATGAGACAATAAAAATAGAACGGGAAAATAAAAAAAGGTAAATAAAAGAATAGTAAAGTGGATTCATGATACTCACCGTGATATAAATAAGTAACCACGTAAGAAAGGATAGGATGTTGCAATTAACTAAACTTAGAAATATAAATAAAAAGGATCAACATTAATTAGAGGTGGTTATAATTTCTTGATTATATCTACAAAACAAGGATTACCATGACTCATGAGATCAAACTACTAGCTAACATTGATACATTATACCAACTCTAACATACTTAATTAGCTACAAAAACTTAAAAAGCACATTACTTAAATTAACCAAAATTAAAAATGGAGGAAAACAGTCCATCCATTAACCTAATTAATAAACTCTTCTAAACAAATTAAAGCCATAATGCTCCAGCTTCCTTAAGAAGTGGAACCAAAGTACCATTAATATGAGAAGCCATAACTCTATCCATTGCTCCAATTAATTTTCCACCAATAAAGACAACAGGTACGCCAGGTGAGTTCCCTAATAGCCTTGAAAGTGCCCTTTCCATCTCTTTACCTTTAGGATCTTGGTCCAATTCGTAAACTGTTGGATGTACTCCCATTCCACAAAACAGCCTTTTCACTGCATGACACATACAACATGTACTCATACTAAATATCACCACAGCACTTCCTGATGCTAGCCTTACTACTCTCTCTAATGGATCTGACGACGACGATGCACGCCTTGTTGCTGCTATGTTGTGGTAGTTTCCTCCGCCCCAAGATGAAGACTCTGCTGCTTGATACATTGTTGTAGATGATATGTTTTTTCAACAATAAGTAGAGGGAGAATGTTGATGTTGGAATTGTGAAGTTGATTAGGGGTGTGTATATATAGGTGTTTGGGGTTCATGAATAAAGGGGTATTTGTCTGTTTATTGTCGTTAAAGTGTGCGTGGGAATTTAAAACTAAGGTGTAGTAGTAATAAATATTGAAGTAAATGTTTCTTTAATGAGATGTAAACATTTGTAATGCTTTTATTAAAAAAAACACAAGTGCGAGAATTTAAGAGAAGAGGCAAATGTGTCAGCGGAGAGAGGCGGCTATGGTGTTTATGTGTCGCAACACAATAATACACTTTACTCTCAATTACTATTTACTACTACTCTCACACAATTGCGATGACGTTGGTTAAGAATGAAGGAGTATTTACTATTCTATTACAATTTTTATTGGTGTCTAAGTAATTATAATATTGAAATTATATGTCTGCATGCTTAGTTGAAGTAGTGGCGGATCCAGGCTTGTGGATGCTCACTTTTTTTAATATAAAATTATTATAAATCACATAGTATAAGTGCACAATTATTTAAACATGATATTTAAAATATTAATGAAAAAAAATAAGATTAATACTACTATTAAAAAAAAACTCAGTTTGATTTAGGAGGGAAAGTGGAAAATAGAAAATGTGAGTTTATATTAGGAGGGAAAGAGTAAATAGAAAAATAGTGAGAATCGAACCTTGACCTCTCTAAACACAAGGGCTTCAAACTAGCCACAAAATCAAAACACCCCATAGGAGACTTGTTCACTAGGTGCTCAAAGTTTAATATAGTCAAATATTGAAGAAATTACTGTATATAAAAATAATTTTACGTCGAGGTTAGTGGGTGCTCGAGCACTCCGAAAGGGTGCATATAGGTCCGTTCCTGAGTCGAAGTTTTCTATGTTAATTAGTTTAAATTTATTAACTTCAAATATAATTATCACTCATATTCCTCTCTCTCGGTTTATATGACTCACTTTCATTTTTAGTCAGTTTAAAAAAAATTACTTATTTATATGTCTAGTAACAATTTAATTTTAAAATGTCTATTTTATCTTTAATGAAATGATTTATAGCCGCACAAACATCTAGTACTTATTTTAGACCACAAATTTGAAAAGTCCTTTTTTTTTCTTTAAATTTTATGTCAAGTCAAACTAATTTAAATAAAATGGGACGAAGGGAGTACTTAGAATAAAATAAAATATTTATTTAATTATATCTTATTTTTTTTAAATAATAATTATTTTAAATCATCTATTTAATAAGAGTTTCAATAAAGTGACGTGGAGTAGATAATATTTAAGGGGTCGTTTGATACTTGGTAGAGTGTATTAACAAAAATAATGCATGCATTAACTCTCTTTATTAATTAGTAGTCTCGTATTTCTACACCTTTTTATGCTATGTAATTATATACTCTATTGTGTATTGAGGAGTGTATTTATATTGTTAATACCATGAATTTCTTGGTATCAGTAATGCAAAAAGATTCAATATATGGATTAGCATGGTTAAAGACCCAATTACCCCCTCAAAAGCACTTTTACATCTTTTCCATCATAATTGTGGAGGACACTTTTGTAAATGAACCAAATCAAACAACGCATACTATTTTTAATATACCAAATAAAACAATGCATATAAAATAAGGCTATGTATAACTAATACAAATATTACTGACGTAAGTATTACTACTATTTAACATTATATTTATACATTACCTTAATATATGGCTCATACTACATTAACTCTAGTTACAACACAAGGAGACAAGTAGTACATGCTTTTTTTTAGGGATATCCAAATAGAATTGGATACTATAGTAAACGGCTGGTTGCGTCCTTGTTTGTCGGGTAAGACATTAAATTTTACCCGAATAAATTTAATAGTAGTAGTAATATATTTGATGCCTGTTCCCTCCTAGCTACTTTTAATGCTCATTTATTTATAACACCACCATTTCTCATATAATAATGATTCTCCATTCTTTTAATGCTAAGTCCGACATGTATCGCAGGTTGCTTCATCATCAACCCTCTTTGGATTTTGTTACTTACTCTTCATCCAACCACCCAATTAACTATTTCCTCCTTTCATTTCTATGGATTGTCTTATACTCCCTCCGTCCACAATTATTTGGCAGGTATACTAAAAATAGATGTCCAAGATTAATTGTCAATTTAAATAATCAAGAAACAATTAATCACCTTTTTCCAATTCTGCCCTTAATGATAGTGTAGTTCAATTGAAAAATTATGTAGACTTTTGATATTCTTGGTATAATAAGGTTATATTAGTCAAATTACACATTCTATTAAATTTTCCTTGAGAGGTGTGCATGACCTTACCCTGACAAACAATTGTGGACAGAGGGAGTATATATATTTTGGGAGTAAATATATAAAATATTTATTATTTGAAAGAAATTTGGAGCAAAGACAATGGTATGTGTACCTTATACTATTCAAAACAGTTCCAAGGTCGACTTCATCTCTCAAGAAAACTAAGTGCCTTCTTAGGAGTCCAAAACCAAAAGGGCAACAAATTTTTTCAAAAATTCCAAAAGGATAACTCAATTAATTATGAAATCAAAAGGGCAACAATTCTTAACACCGTTTAAATTAGATTTTGGGAAACAAGGCTCAAATTCCAATGAGCCTTACAAGGCTCATAGGAATTTGAGCCTTGCAGGTTGTTTTTTTTTTAAAAATAAAATAAAAATATTCTCGTTTTATTTTGTTGTTTGTTAAAAGTCTAATAATAATAATAATAATAATAATAATAATAATAATAATAATACATAGTTGTTGATATGATGCATAAAGATAGTTTAGATCTTATTGCTAGCCATTACTTTGTGGCTTTTCAAATGAACTAAATCCAATAGTTTAGACCTTATTTACTACTTAGTTGATTTTTTTTTTCTTCAACTTTTTTTATGTGAAATTATAATTTGGTTTATTCACTTGCAGAATGATAAAATTCAGCCTTCTTTAGTCATACTTTATTTTGGTGGAAATTCCCTATTGATGAATATGTTGAAAACATGAGAAAAATTATACTTCATATCAAGGTAAAAATAATAATAATACCCTTTCAATAATTTATAGTAAACATGAACCATGCATATATGTTGGAGTTCGAAAACTTCAATTTTATATATATATATAATTTGGAAAAAATTGATAGAACATATAAGGAACATGATAGAAAATATAAAAGACATATCATTTTTCATTATTAGTATTAAAAATAGTCAATTATAATAATTACAAATATAAAGGTGACCAACCTGTAATAATGATATAAAACCATTTACAATGGAAACGTCGCATAGCCTTGTGAGTTGTCTTTTATATTTTCTATCATGTCCCTTATATATTCTATCAATTTTTCCAAATTATATATATATAAAATTGAAGTTTTCGAACTCCAACATATATGCATGGTTCATGTTTACTATAAATTATTTAAAGGGTATATTATTATTTTTTTACCTTGTTATGAAGTATAATTTTTCTCATGTTTTCAACATATTCATCAATAGGGAATTTCCACCAAAATAAAGTATGACTACAGAAGGCTGAATTTTATCATTCTGCAAGTGAATAAAACCAAATTATAATTTCACATAAAAAAGTTGAAGAAAAAAAAAAATCAACTAAGTAGTAAATAAGGTCTAAACTATTGGATTTAGTTCATTTGAAAAGCCACAAAGTAATGGCTAGCAATAAGGTCTAAACTATCTTTATGCATCATATCAACAGCTATTATTATTATTATTATTATTATTAGACTTTTAACAAACAACAAAATAAAACGAGATTTTTTTTTTTAAAACAACCTGCAAGACTCAAATTCCTATGAGCCTTGTAAGGCTCATAGGCGGCTGAGCCTTACAAGGCTCATAGGAATTTGAACCTTGTAAGGCTCATTGGAATTTGAGCCTTGTTTTCCAAAACCTAATTTAAACGGTGTTAAGAATTGTTGCCCTTTTGGTTTCATAATTAATTGAGTTACCCTTTTGTAATTTTCGAAAAAATTTGTTGCCCTTTTGGTTTCGGACTCGTCTTCTTAGTGTGTTGATTGAATTCTGAAAAAAGGATAAGTTTTGCTTTTATATGTTTTTTTCTCTTATGTCTTACGTTTTTATCCAACCAAAGGAGAAGTCTTCTCTTAAAAAGGAGATGTTGAACAGTTACTAATTCTTAACTATTCCATCTTCTTTCAAAAAATAATTAATTCCTTTTCAAAAATTAAATAAAATCGGATCGGATCAGTCCACATGGGCGATCCATGATCCAAAATAACTTACATTTCCCACTTCGCACATGGTGGACAAGACCCAAGTCAATATGACATCAATTAGATACACAGATCATACGACAGATAGTATGTGTGACCTGTGAGCATCAAAACTTGCCTTCAAGGTTTTTCAAGCCCTATAGAGGAATTCAATCACATGTGAAAATAATTCACTACTGATATAAGGATAATGTTACTCAGAATACCCCAACTTCATTCGCTACTTCAGTAGTTACTTATTTGATCACTCATCCTGTTAAAGAGGTGAACTCAAGTTCATGTTTAAATTTATATACACAATTAAACTCGAGTGTAATAGCTAGCTCGTGTATTGTTCATTTTAATCATCTCCCCTTTCTACTCGAATCTATCTGTTTCATATCAACTATTTTCCTAGACATGCAATACATTGCCGAATCACTCATGACTACTAGTAACATGCTAAAATAGCAACACTAATAGAAACTTCAAGAAACAACAAAAGGTCAATTTAAAGGGTATTTCAATAAAAATTTAAGTTAACTCTTCAGGGTCTCACACAATGAAGAAGCAGATAGCCATTATTTCATTAACTCATTGATCGCTTAGCACACGTGTTATGAAACACAATTTTAAGACCTACAACTACCTTTCAACTCCTAAATCTACCTAAACCCTCTCATTCTCTCAAA